AGATCGTGACCTGGCTGAAGTTGGGCGCTTAACCGACTGCGCCACCCGGGTGCCCCATCGGCACTTGTTTCTTATCCTCCTCCTCTCCAAAGATGGTTGGGATCTAAAAAAGGTAGCTCCCCCCACCTGCCCATATGTGGCAGAAGGAGTGTGTTTATTTGAATTGGCTAGGGTTCTTCTCTAAGAAAGCAAAAGGCAGGGAGAATAGGAAACAGTACCGTATACCAAGAATGGGGGTGTGCGCCCCCCGGCACCTTACAGAGGACAGATTCTCTTGTCCACCCCGATTTTGTCTTTCCTTGGGGCTTCCCTTAGGCGTGGGTGAGAGGCGGGGTTTTCTGGAGAGAGGCACCTGAAAGAGATCAGCCACGCGACTCCCTGGAGGTGAATCGTGTCGGTCGTTCCGAAAACGTGATTGAGGCGAGGTGAATTTTAAACGAGGGTTCTCGTGTACTTTTCCTTTATTTGCGGAGATTGCTTCTTATCTTGATACGTTGTTTGGAAAATAATTGCTTCAGGAAACGTTTGTCCCCAGAACGGGTAGGGGGCCTGCAGCGCGTCCATGTCTTTCTCCTGGAAGTTCTTCCAAATTCTTGTGTTTGGTCTTCCTACTTGATCTGAAAGGGTTCCTAGTGGAGTTTAAATAAGAGCTGAAATCGTCTTCCCTCCTTCCATATGTTTATGGGATAATCTTCCTGCCAAAATGTTTTGATACTTTGGGAGAAGCACCAGAGAACCGTGAATGCAGGAAGTTAATCGCTTACCTGTGGGATTAATGAACACTGCATTCTGTTTGCAGAAATAGGAGCGTGTGGAAGGTTTAGTAAAGAGTGTTCTTTGGGCATTCGACGTGAAGAAATGCCTAAGGGTGTGTTTTTGTTTTTGTTTTAACCAGGTACAGGAGTCTGAAGCACTTTAACTATGACATCTGCCAAAGTTGCTTTTTTTCTGGTCGAGTTGCAAAAGGCCATAAAATGCACTATCCCATGGTGGAATACTGCACTCCGGTAAGTCAGATGCCTCCCTGGCGGGACACTTAGCTCGCCTGGGAGGAGTTGCACTTTGGCACCGTGTTGCACAGGGTGTGTACAGCTGTGATTTATAAGTTCCCGAGACGGTCCCCCCGCTAAAGGGGCTCCAGATTTACTTTATCCCTAGCGCATAGGGCAGTGCCTGGCACAGAACGAAGCCTCGGAGTTACTCCACAAATAGCATAGGATGAACGAAGAGATTTTTCATCTCTGTTTGGTGGATGTCGAGAAGACGTTCTCCGCTGTATTTTGTTACCACCGTAGCGGTTGTGTGGAGACGTTTTATGCTGGGGGGTGTGGGGGGAGGGGGTAATGTGGGTTCCTTCAAATTTAGAATCCGCTGCTTTTGGCCAGTCTTGCTTAACTAATGCTAGGCATTTGCCTTTTTGGTTTTTGTTTTTGTTTTTAGTGTTTGTTTATTTTTGAAAGTGAGAGAGAGACAGAGTGTGAGCAGGGAAGGGGCAGAGAGAGGAGGAGACACCGAATCCGAAGCAGGCTCCAGGCTCTGAGCTGTCAGCACAGAGCCCGACGCGGGGCTCGACCTCACGAGCTGTGCGATCATGACCTGAGCTGGAAGTCGGCCAGTTAAACGTCCGACTCTTGATCTCAGCTCAGGTCTTAATCTCAGGGTCATGAGTTCAGGCCCTGTGCTGGCCTCCACGCTAGGCATGGAACCTACCTAAAAGGGAAAAAAACAAAAAAACTACTCTGTGAAACAGGTATTATTGTTATCATCCCCTTTTTACAGATGAGTACTCTGAGGCCTTAAGTAATTTGCCCAGTGTTCTAGAATTAGGAGACGGAACTTTCTCCTCAGATGTCGTTTTGAGGAAATGTTCAGTAGCTTACAGAACTTTGGAAAAATCACCGGTGAAATGGAAAGGAGATAGACTGGGTGGTCAGACACATCTGGGTGTCGGTCTGATGTTACTGAACCACTAGCTGCTGGGACTCATCAGCACCGCCGGACCCGGGAGCTTGTTAGAAATGCAACAACTCGGGCCCTGCCCCTGCCTCGTTAAATCCAACCTGCATTGTAGCAGGATCTGCAGGTAGTTGCAGCGCACATCCAAGTTTGAGAAGCTCTGTTCTAGAACTTTCCTGTCTTCCATCATAGAGCCATGATCTGGTTCCTAGTGTCCTTCTCACTTTGATTCCTCTTGCAAAGGTATTCAGTGATGCAGAGTGAGCCATGCTGTGAAAGAGAGGGAGATTCAGGGGGTGAAACATGATGTCAGCGTGGATCAGATCGTTCCTTAAAGTACTAGAAGGTTTGGCCAAACCTGAGGTCAACTTTAAGACTTTAAAATTTTTTTTTTTCAACATTTATTTATTTTTGGGACAGAGAGAGACAGAGCATGAACGGGGGAGGGGCAGAGAGAGAGGGAGACACAGAATCGGAAACAGGCTCCAGGCTCCCAGCCATCAGCCCAGAGCCCGACGCGGGGCTCGAACTCCCGGACCGCGAGATCGTGACCTGGCTGAAGTCGGACGCTTAACCGACTGCGCCACCCAGGCGCCCCAACTTTAAGACTTTAGAAACGAGGTGCTCCTTTGACTTCGTTTTTTCATCATGACAGCTTGGTGAGGTATTATTACCCCCATGTTACAGACGGTCTGAGCCTTCGAGAGGTAAACAAGGTGGACAAGTTCACCCTGCCGGTTAATGCTAGGCCCGGCCCGGTTTTTGTCCACCGACTTCGCTCTTGACCCCTACGGTCTCCTAAGTTACAGAATGAGTACCCCGAGGCAGAACACCGCAGTGGCCCCTTTACCTTGACCTCATTCCCTCGTGTGTCTGATCTCGGCACAATTTCCCTTTCAGACTACGTCGGGAGAAGATGTTCGTGACTTTGCCAAGGTACTAAAAAACAAATTTCGAACCAAAAGGTATTTTGCGAAGCATCCCCGAATGGGCTACCTGCCTGTGCAGACTGTCTTAGAGGGGGACAACATGGAAACGTGAGTACTGGTGAAGGCCTCTTTGAGCTCCTCTCCGCCGAGTGCCCTCCTTCGCTCCCAAATGCAAACGGTCTCTCCTCTCTCTTTCTTTAGATTTTACTTTAGCTGGAAAGAGAAAAACAAGCTCATGTTCAATTGCCATTCTCTCGTGTCGGTTGTCCCGTGCCAATTGCCTGTTCCAAAACTTAATCTGGATGTCCCAGGGAGAGCAGCTCCGTGACAGTTACTGCTTCCCTGATAAGAAATGTGGGACGGTTTCCTGGGACGGTTTACAAAGGAGGGATTCCAGCCTTTTCGTTGGGGTTTTCTGCCCTCACGAATCGCCAGGCGTGTGTCTTTTTTGTGTCTGATTGTGGGCTCGTGCTTAGTTGCTTTTATCTCCTTGCAAGAAAATAGAGTCCCAGGAAATTTCTTCACAGTAAGTAGCAGTGATTCTCGTGATCAAAATGACGATACCTCCACCTGTATTCAGCCTTCTCTTGTGTTTTCCATATCTGATGGCAATCGCACAGTTTGTTTTTCTTTCACCTCACTTTCCACCTGCCTTTTGGCCGTTGCTTTTCACGGTTCATACTTAATTGGCTGAATTTCATTGATTTTTGACTTCTCGGCACTTTATTTTGTCTTTATTTATTTATTTCTCTTGATTTGTTTACTTTGTTGGTGGCTGAGTTTGCCTGTGTCTCTCTTCACCACCTCATTTTTTGTTTTGCAGTCCTGTTACTCTGATCAACTTCTGGCCGGTAGATTCTGCGTGAGTACTTGTGCTGAAGGGTGCTGCTGGCTTGCTTGATTTGACCATTTTTGTTCTGTTGGTTTAGTTTGGTTTTAAAGACCTGTTAAGTTCCCGTCCTTCATTTCAATTTTTTTTTCTTCCGGTGGTAAGACGCTGCGAGGGCCATCCGCCGCAGGTCAGGAGAATCAGGGTGAGGTTTTCAGGTCCCCACCTGGTCAGGTTGTAACCGGCAGAAATCCTGGCCTGGAATCAATCATCAAAGAAACGAAGGGGTTGTTAGTTACAGTCCCGGGAGACGTGTTTATATAGCCTTCCATTATAAGCAGGGAAGAGCCTTCTGATTACATCATAACGTTCTTTAGCCATAGTTTTTGAGAGTTAATACTTGTGGACCTTCACAAGGATGATGGTTTATTCTTTAGGGCCTCTTCTAAGTGGACCATTAAAAATCAAGAGAATTTGTTTTATAGTGTGATGTTGACTTTGATGGAATAATTTCCATGAGGCGTGTGTATGCTACTGGACTCCTCTCTATATACATGAGTTTCTCTCTTTGGAACTAAACTCATTTTGCTCTCCTCTCCGAACTAAATATTCAGCTCATAAATAGTTCGACATTTACACTGGAAGGAAAGTGTACTGTCGACTTGGTTATTACTATTGGTGTATATTAATAATACTGATATTAGATACCAACAGATAATTGATTTAGCTCCGAGTTTACAATGTTATTAGAAAACTCTCTGGGGAGTCTGCGATTTACCTATTAGCAAACAAAGCGTGCATTGTTTTAAAGTTCTGTCGTGCGGAGTTTTTATAACAACGTTTTGGTATTTCAAAGCGTACTTTATTAAAATATTTATTTAAAGTGAGACAGCTCTATTATATGGAAGAGGGAAATGACCAATTTAGAAGAACTCAATTTATTTTTATTGGGTCTTTTTTATCGCTCCCCCCATGTAATTTAATTTAAAGTATATCCTTTTTTAAAAATCCTGTAGTGATAAATGCAAGCTATTAATTGAGGTTTATTTTAAGTCTTTATTGGCCTCAAAGAAGTGTGAGGCTTCCCTTTCTTGGTTAAAGCAGCATTATTGTGCCCCTTAACTTTGAGCTACGGTACCTATACCTGATTTTTTTTTTTTTTTTAATCATTGGGGGAGTGACTTAGATTCACTTCTGGTTTTTGCTCTTGGTAGGTAATGGTTTTTCCCTCACCCGGGTAGTTTATTTGTTTATAGAAGTTTGAACCTTTCTGAAATAAGAAACTTCAAATCACATTGAGAGACTGAAATCCTCAGTGTGGCCGGATCCTGATAAGCAAACGGATGTACTCTGGAATAACTTCCAGCCATTTGAAATATTCTAAAGACAATGATGCTAAAGAATCACTTTGAAAATGCACGGATAGAGGTAGCAGAAAATAATAGGCAAAGAATAGCTAACGGTTCCCTGAATGGGGGGGGGGGGGAAAAAGTTTATTGTAGACCTAAACTAATGAGAGAAAAACATGGCCGTGAATTTAATGTCACCTGTCTTAAGTAGAGGGTGTTTGCCTTAAACTTCGAAGAACTTTAAAATTAATAACCTTCTTTACTACAGTATCTTCCTCTAACGACTGAAACATAGAATCACTTTGCCTTTTTATAAAAAAAGTTTGTTAGATTATTCAGAAATAGTGGGAAAGTCTACTTTTGAGGAAGAAAAACCCAGCACGCTACGGTCCCTATTTTCTTCAATGCCAGCAATTTTTATTAAAGTCTTTACCCTTGGGATTATACATAATTTATGAAATATATTGCCCAGCTCTCCTGTTCAGGCAAAGTCCCAGGTGCCAAGGTGCTCGAATTTCGCAGGAATTGCCCCTGATGTCAACAGATTCTCCTGTGGATCACCGAAGTGGGAAGCTCACTGAGACACACGCCTTTTCTTTTTCTTTAGAGGAAGCCCTTGTTTACCCGCTATTTGGCATATTACCTTTAAAACTAAATCTGGCCTAAGCCTTTTATATTGTTCGTCCACAAAGGAGACGGGTAGTCTTCTTGGAGCATGTCCACTTTGAAACCCAAATGGGTGAAAAGTTATCGGTGGAGTTGTCACAGAAGAGAAAGGGGTAGTGGGTGGGATGGAATTGGCCGTTAATAATCACAGGACTAATCTTCCTGGGTATATCGTTTCGTGTTTAGGAAGTAGGAAGGGGGAACGGGATTCTTCCCGTCTCTCAGAAAAATGTTTCGGAAGGCTTTGGATTTAGTTTTGTTTCTGGACTGAGGGGTTTTGTCCTTTTACTTATTCTTGGTTTTTAAATGGTTCTTCTCTGGCTCCTTTTCTGGATTAATGAGCGCTTCCTTTAGTGTACTTTCTCTCTCTCTCTCTCTTTTTTTTTTTTTCTTTTTCTTTTTAGATTTCTGATTATTATGAGTTCTTGTGCTTAGGCATGCTGTGTTAGGTGCTACGAACATTGATAAGAAAAATAACATGGAATTAGCCTCAAGGTTAAGGATTAAAGTGCTGCATAATATTTTCTGTGTAAGATTTTATTAAAGTGTGTTGGATTTCCATGCCCAGTTTTCTTGCTATGTAGTGCCTAGCTCAAAGGTGTCAGGTGTTCTTCTATGCACTACCCAGCCTACCACTGTTAGAAAAGAGCCGTTTTCCTTCATGGTGGGCTTTCAGCTCGTAAGAAGTCTGTACATGAAACACGAGTTTGTTCCACAAGACGGGGCTCATAAAGCGAATAATCCAAGTACTAAACTCTCTTGACCTGCAGTGAGTATTTTGAAACAGACGTTAGCTAGCATGTTTCTAATACTGAGCTATGGCAGGCTTCTAACGAACGAGCAGGTGAACCCTACAAAACCAGAGTGAAGATTCACGTGAAAATCTTTGGATCTGCCTAGTAAATCGGGTAGTCCTCCCTGTCTCCTCCTGACAGTTTGAAACCTCTTGGTTGTCCAGTGCCAATTGGATTATGGGGACACTGGACCTAGACAGCACAGCTTCCATAAATAAGGCCTTTACCCCACAGGGAAGCCCTCTGTTCCCTAGTTGTTTGCTATACCGTGTCGGCATCCTCTTAGGATTGCGTGTCTTTAAGAAATAGGGATTTCTCGTACATTTTCGCTGTCAGCCTCCATAACTACATGGTTTTTTCTTTTAGTATCAGGAAAAGCAAACCTATTCTTAGTGTTTCGACCAAGTCATTTAATGCTGTTTGGACGTTGGGCTAAACCAGTCCTCACTGAATAGATTACTGTTGACTTTTGGATTCGTGCCTTTACCTAAGGGCTTTCTGTGTCAGGACAGAAATGGAAGAGAACTTTTGTCCTACTCCAATGAAAACAAAAAAGCCCAAGTCCAAACTGGTTTTCAGAACAGATGGATTTTTTTTCCTAACGTGAATCCAAAAGTGCTATAAAAACTTCGAGGAGAATTAATAGATCTGATAGGAAAGGATGAGGAAAATGTTAACCTTACCAAATCTCCTGGTCTCTGGAGCTAAAAAAATAAATAAAAATAAAAAAGGGTTTTACGCCCCAAAGTATATAATCCTCCCCTCTTGTTTTCTTCTCTTGTATATTAGCACACAGTATCCCTAATAGATATTTCAGATACTGTGACGTTTTATAGAATTTAGTTCTTTTTTTAAAAAAAAAAAAAAAACATCACGATATCATTTTGGGTCCTTCAGTTTTATTTTATGGAGTAGTAATAGAGTCCTGCTACTAAATTGGTGGATATATTGCTTCTTCACAGAACTGCACAGAACAAGATAGCTTGGGGTGTGGAATCTTAAGAGGTCCCGGACCGGCCTGGCCTCTTCAGAATCAGATTGTTGACTGAGAGTGTACTAGGCGCACGTAGAATTTCCATTCGGTGAGAGAGCAGCTAATAAATGGCATGGGCGTAAACTCTTGAACGTTTTTGACCGCCTAGTGCCAACACAGGCTCAGAACCGTAGCGTGGGAGAAACTAACAAGGGAGGAGGAAAGTGCCCCAGAGAGATGGTCTCCCCCAGCCTTTTCTCTAATGGAAGCTCTCCAGAGAAGATTCCGATCTCTTTTTTATGGCTTCTGAAAGAAGTAGAAGTAGGAGAGTTCACTTCTCCAGCTTGGATTTGAGACACTCGATGACATCGGAGATAAAGTTGAAACTAAATGCGTACCTTGTCCGGAGAGCTAGAGTGAGAGCGTTCTAGGCCATGTATATAACATGACTGTGGTGGGGTTTTTTTTTTTTTTTTTTTCTCCATTAATGGATGGTATCTGTGACTAATCACATTTTCTGCCTTATAGGCCCGCCTCGTCCCCTCAGCTTTCACACGATGATACTCATTCACGCATTGAACATTATGCTAGCAGGTATGACACTAGTTGAATGCTAGGCAAATATTGATTGAAATAACTAACCAAGGAAAGCTAACCGATAATAATTTGCAATAGATCTTTTCTTTCCCCCCCCAATCTTGTCTGACTTCTACTAATCCACTTGCCCTCTAACTTGCATGCCGTTGCACTGCATGTTGTTCTCGGACACCCGTAAGAACGTTGGTCCGGAACAATCTCTCCCTAACCCTGGCCTTTAAACCTTTCTGATAGCTTTGTTATGTTTTGCACACTGCGCACGTTTCATAAATTGGCTGAGAAATCATCTGACCTTAGAAAACCGCTAGACCAGACATGCCCAAGCGAAGCAGCAATACTGCGTTCCGTAGAGAATATGAAGGCGTTGGCTTTCCGTCTGTGTGTTTATTTCCCTGATCCGCTGTAAAGAAGAGAATAATTAATTTTCCTAATCCTCGCACCTTTATGTCCCACCTTGTTTGTGTTTCAGATCATTGTTATACCTAAAAACTCATTTGCTAACTGTAAGATATCTTTTGCTCGTTAAATAAGTCTGTAAGAGTTTGGTTAACTTTTTTTTATTTTTTAGTGGTAAAAAGTGTTTACGATTGTCTCAGGGGAAGGAGGTTTTTCTAAAGGTAAAACTTGGTGGCAGACTGTTAAGAGAGCTTACCTGTGAGTTCGTCCTTTTTCAATATTCTAACCGCTAACGTGTTTATCAACCGCGGGAAGCACGAACTAGCTCTATAAGTCTGTCATCAGGGGAAAGCTTTAATTGCTCTAAAAATACCAGGGGTAGAGAAGGAGTAGAGTGTATTTGTTGTTAGGGAAGCTTTTCTTGTAAAAACAAAGGCCTTTTCTCAGTGCCAGGAAGATCGATCTGTGAAGAAGAAAAACCTACCAGATACAACTTCCGTTATAATTTATAGCGTAAATGTAAAGCCGCTAACTAGCTGTAGTCCACCACTCACTGCCTCCAGAGGTTAGGGCAACACACACATCCTTTAATTTGAAGGATTCCTGTCTCTTCTCGACATGATTTATCCTTTAGTTTTCAGGAATGTTCGATTAGGTCTTGAATAGATTCTAAGAAATCACATAAGTTTTAATGAGCTTTTACGTTTTTTATCAGGCTAGCAGAAATGGAAAACAGCAATGGATCTTATCTAAATGATAGCATCTCTCCTAATGAGAGCATGTAAGTATCCTGTCTCTTTTTACGAAATGTTCCTGACGATGAAATTGCTTTGAGGGCTTTAGAGGTAGGGTAGCGCAGAAGATAGGAGTTAGCGTGATAGTCATTTGCTCTTTCAAGGAACCGCTCGCTTGCTTTTTTTCTTTGGCTCTTAACAACCTGACAGGGAAGGAGCTCATCCAAGATGTGGCCTTATTGGCAATTCCAGACTCGCAAAACCAGTTTGCCTTACTCTTATTTAATATCAGACCGTCACAGGCTGCCCAGGTGCAAATATTGAAATTGTATTAAATGCTTAACCTTTGACGAAACCTGCCAGATATTTAAAGGGATTGGATAGTAATTTTTAAAGTGACGGCTGAGTGGTATTTCCTCCACTCAGGGGGAGTGGACATCCACCCTTGGTACAGTTGGATGGGTATTCCCATCCGGCAGGTTAGTTGGGTCGTTTCCTTCAGAGATCCAAAGTGGTAGCATCTTCGCTAGCCAAATAAGGCGAGGCAGCCTTGCGAAGGGTTTCAGAAGGAGGAGCTCAGATTTAGGTCGAAGTTTTTTAGTGGGATGATAAGCCAGGCCTGTCAAGTAGAAGCACACAGCTATGGCAGGGAAACAGAGGCTTCATTACCGAGTAAGGGAAGTGTTCACAATGAGGAACACACAGAAATAGTGCATGAATCAAGGGCCTGAGGTGGAGGGAGCTGACGAAGAAGCTAATCTGAAGGAAAAGATAAGGACCTGCGAACTGAAGGGATACTTGAGAGAGAGAGAGAGAGAGAGAGAGAGAGAGAGAGAGAGAGAGAGAGAAAATCTAGTCAAAGCACAGTGATGCCTTTGGTAAGTTACAGATGTCTCGCCACTTTGTCATGGAGAATCTAGACAAAGGGAAGAATGAGGTGTCAGTCTACTCTGTCGGTGTGGCACCTCCCGGTCACACTCAGATGAGGCAAGGGCCTTTACGAGGCTTAGGCTGAGGGAAATAGTACCCGAGTGGCATTTATACGTAATTGGTTATTGAAGACATGAGAACAAGTCATCTGGTAGATAAAGGTGATCACTTTCAAAGGTGAGTGGTGAATCAAGTCGACAGTCAGTCATCTGTTTATGACTGAATTACTTAAAGCGAAACCCATCTTTTCCCCATTCGTAACTGTGGTATATTCTCTTTCTCATCCATGGGGATAAGTATCAGTAGGATTACGATATGAGATCCACTGACAGGAAAACAGGTGGCCAAAGAATCAACCAGACGTAAACGGCCTGGATGGTTTGCTTCTTTGGGTCGCCGATTTTGATGTGAAATTAATTCAAGTTGTAGCCACATCATAATGGCCGCCATTCAGTGGCTGCCTGAGAGAACAGTAAGAGAAACTTAATTGTAGCTCTGTTGTAATTAAACATGGGACGTTCTAGCAATAAAATTCCAGAATTTGGGAAAAGGGATGGTAAGTTGGGTAGTAAAACATCCTTTTACAATTTTTAAATGAAATGTAGCTTTAGCTCCTTCTGAGGACATAAAATCCATTTTGACTCAGTGTTAGGTGATAAAATCCTGATGTTTTGGGGGCAGGTCTGGGGAGGTGGTTTGGTGCATTGGTTGACTTCACGTAAATGTTTGTTTTTAACACCCAGTAATTATTTGTAGTCCACTTTTCACTTCTCAGCCAATTACCTGGCTTGACAGACCAAAATCATTTCGGGCAGGAGGATTTTTGCCTAAATACCTGAACTGTTTTTCAACTCAGAAGACTCAGGGGGATATTAACATATCATCCTGCTATCTAACCAGAAACAAAGGGCTTTAGCCTCTCGTTGAGAATAGAACTGAGGTTCTTACAACTTAGAGGCACACAGGCTTCCAAAGAGCTAGGAGCAATACATTTGGAAAATGATTTCTCCCGTGTATTAAAGAGTTCTAGTTTTACAGAGACATTGCAGTTGCTTCCCCAAATTGTGAGCCTTTTGCTTCTTTGTTCCTGAGGATTAGTCCTTAAAAGCTGTTCCAAAGAATAAGTTGTTCAGGCTTCTTTGAATTAATCATCCTAATGGCTTTTTTTCCCCTTCGAATTTTTGTTTTTCTATTTGAACAATAATTGAGTGAAACCATCATTTGTCTACAGGTTCGTTATTGTTACCGTCTTGCCTCCATGGCTTTTTAAGTTCAAACCGACTTACCAAAGCAACACTTTTTGGTTACTTTGTCTTCCCCTTAAGACCATATTTATGATGGTAAAGGCTGCATTTTTTTCCCTGGTCACTATCAACAGTAGCATGGGTCAGTGAACAGGTTTTCTTGACAGGCTTCAGTGATGGAGCCATTGTTCTTTTAATATTTGTTAACTATTGGTTGAGTGGTCAACGCAGAGTCCCAGTGTGTCCGCAACCCTGCCGTTCCTTTACCCATGTAAATAGGCCACGTTCACTGGAAAATTTGAGCAAGCAGTGCTTTGAATTCTCACCAATAAGACGGTAGATCACAGCCTCAAAAGTATGCAAGTGTCTTAAGAAACAGGAAGAAGGGTCTAATTACTTGTTAAGAGCAAATGTTTCTGTTTTTAAGTACACACCCGAGTCCCTGACCCCCAGAACAAAATAAGAGGGGAAAAAACCAAAACCTTTGATTTTATTTTCCAGAGATGATGAACATTTGTTAATCCAGCATTACTGCCAAAGTTTGAACCAGGACTCCCCCCTGAGCCAGCCTCGTAGTCCTGCCCAGATCTTGATTTCCTTAGAGAGTGAGGAAAGAGGGGAGCTAGAGAGAATCCTAGCAGATCTTGAGGAAGAAAACAGGTGAGTTTTCTTTCTAGCTTTGTCATTGGTATGCAGAGCGCATACACGTGCACACGTAGAAAAGCGCCAGGAGTCTTCACTTAGAGTCATTCTGTGTCTAATTGTTTTCTGCGATAATCTGTTGAGCTCCGTTTACAGGTGCTCTCTCTCTATGAATGCAATAGTATAATGAAGACGTCCTAATTGAGGGCTGAAAGGAATTAATGCTAATGGTGGTGTTTGATTTGTTGCATGTGTTTCAGAGGCTTTGATTTTATATTTGAGCCTAGAATTTAAGAGCAAAGCAAGTCATTTAATTTCACGATTATACGACGGGTACATGTATTTGGCCATATTATTTATGCCACAGCGTTCAAGAAAGTAGGCTCGTTGGCTTTGCCTCATTTGCGAACGAATTCACTCATCTTATTTTTCATCATCGGCCACAGAAATCACGTATGCTCACCACCAGAGCAGATTAGTGAGACAGTTCCGGTTGTCCGTATCATCTGCAAAAGGTGTTCCCAGAAGAAAGGAGACTGTGTAGAAATTAAAAGGCTAAAGAAAATTCACCCTGTCTGCAGGGAGGACAAAGATGTAAAACTCTGGGATTCTGTGTGGTGTCAGGATAATAGAAATCATTGGACTTTCACTTTGCTGTTAGATTTATTATCTCACAGATCTCTTGGTTGAGAAAGGCTTTTACATATGATCACTTCTAACTCCCTGTGCCTTCTTTAGACAAATGCCACCAGGCCAAGTCTTTAAAGGAGCAATTGCTCAAATTTGTGGGACTCGAGTACTTTCATCTCTGTGATTTAGCCCAAGGCTCCAAAACCTGTGAATCTAGACAGCTTGGTATGTCTGCGAACCGGTGCCCTCGGGGAGTATTGTCACCTCAAGATGAAAAAGCAAACTGCCGTTCATCCATTGCTTTCTGCTGCCACTGCCCACCTTCTAGCTCTTAAAACCCCCGACCTGTGGCCACGTTCCTTATCCGGTGGGCTTCCCTTCACTGCCTCTCTCACCCCTCCAATAATATATCCCCCATACGGACTTGCATTGTGTATCTTTCCAGGACCATCATGGCGTTCATTGTTTGTCGGATTTCTGCATCTAGGAAGACAAAAAGCCGGCTTTTCGGCTGGGCCTTTAAAACCTTCCAGAATTTTCTCTTCCTTTTACAACATTATCTTCCTTTCTACCTGTGTTCCGGCCACAGTGCTCTAGCAACCGTTTCCGAGTACATCCTGCCCTCATCCACTTTCTGGGTCACGCGCAAGCTCCCTCCCATATCTGATGAAGGAGTCCTACCCATGTTCCGCGACCTTCCTCAAAATAATCTCCACGGAGCCCTGTTAGAGCCCTGCATTTGGAAGTAATAGATCTTTTGCCTGTATTCTCCGAATATTGTGAATCTTTCTCCGAGAACTCCCTGATGGTTTGCCTCTTTGTCAGTGATGCCCCGTGTGGCGCCCTGCCCCCAACCCGAATAAGACGGGGAATGCCTTTGGGCCAAGGACTGGGTCTTAATCCTCTTAGTGGTCCCCTACAGTACCTAGCGTGGTTTGAAGACTCAGGGGGTAATCCTGGAATGTTCGGTAAAAACCCAACTTTAAGAATACAGCAAGGATGTCACACGAGTGCCATCCAGGAGGTAATACTGAACGTTTTGTTGGTTTTCATGGTAACCTTATTTTTGGTCTCCTTTGGCACTGAACTGGCACTGAAGAGTATCCTGATGAGTATCCCTCTGTGTTAAACCTGCAGTTATTTCAGGGGTCAAAGTCAAATTAGAAAAAGTTGGAATTGGCATTGTAAGTAGCATTTGACGCAACCCAGGAGTAAAAATAGTTTTGTACCATAAGATTATTGCCACTGCGCAATAGATCTGTCTGTGTCATCGGGCAAGAGTCTGGTCTTGTTTGTTGTTAGCACACTTTGCTTCCGTACCATGACAGCCAGGGTAAAGACTAGTGATAAATGTCATTTGCATATCGTTTCATCATTTCCGGAGTGCTTGACTGTATTTTGGGCCATTTAATCTTCCTTACAGCTGTGTAAAGAACTTAGATGGGAAGATGCGGGTTCACAGAGGTTCAAATGGATTGACCCAAATTTCACACTCAGCCAGTGGCAGAACCAACCTCAGGCCCAGATTTTCTGACTCAAAAATAGCCAAGTTCCCCTTGGACCAGCGAACAAAAAAGAGTCATTCTCTGTAAATAGAATTTGTATAGAATTGTCACATATTCCCTGGAATGGACCTTGACGTGAGACCGTATTATTTTTTTTTTTTATTTTTTTAATGCTTATTTTTGAGAGAGAGAGAGAGAGAGACAGAGCATGAGAGTGGGAGGGGCAGAGAGAGAGAGGGAGACACAGAATCTGAAACAGGCTCCAAGCTCCGACGTGTCAGCACAGAGCCCGACATGGGGCTCGAACTCATGAACCAGGAGATCGTGACGTGAGCCGAAGTCGGACGCTTAACTGACTGAGCCACCCAGGTGCCCCTGGAATTTTTTTTTTTAAGTTCATTTTTTTATTTTTGAGAGAGAGAGAACGCACACACGCGCGTGCACACACACACACACACACACAAGCATGAGTGGGGAGGGGTACAGAGAGAGGGAGACGGAATGTGAGGCAGGCTCCAGGCTCTGAGCCATCAGCACAGAGACTAACGTGGGGCTCAGACCCTCGGACCACGAGTTCATGACCTGAGCTGAAGTTGGATGTCTGACCGAGCCATCCAGGCGCCTTGAGACAGTATTATTAAGGACTAGATAGACATGAATAAACCAGTTCATGTACTTGTGGTACAGGGATCACTACTTTATCCTGAAAAATATCCAAGATCGTTCTACAAGAACGGGATGGTTTATTCTGTGAAAGAAAGAAATTACACCAGGGCTCCTCACAGCCGCCAAATGAAGAATCTGATGTTGATGGAAGTCTTACTGTAAGTTCTCTTGACCTTCAGGTAAAGGTCATCAGGGTGAGTTTCTTTCTTTCTCTCTCCACTTTGTCCCATTTGCACGTCCTGCCACATTCCAAAGAAATGTCTCTGCAGAGTGAAAGGTACGCTGTCTCCTGAAAGGACACTCTCTGGGCTATACGATCAGACAAATACAAGCGTACTTGGAGAGAAAGCGGGAATGGAAATTTAAAACTGAGATTGTCCCATGTCCTTTGGATGTATGTTTATTACCGTATCTATGTGTATTTTGCGTTCCTTCGTTCTAACCTTAGGACTAACCTCCAAATAAGTTAGCAAAGGAAAGGGGCTCGGAGATCACCATTTCCGACGAGATACGGTATGGAATTCTGTTGTTTTTCATGACACCTGCCCCCATTCCCCTTGGAAAGGAGAGAATGCCTAATTTAGAAGTGTCTCCAGGGTGTCTTCTCTCTGCCTTTAGGATTCCATTTCTCTCAGTTGCCACACATAGCATTCAATAAATATTTGTTGAATGAAAGAAATGAAGCTGGATTTATTTTAAGTGTGGCCCTCACACATGTACTTTTGACTAAAATTGCTTTGCAGAGTCTTTCTTTTCCCAAGTTCCTTGATTAGCACCAACTGTTGCTTTCTCATTAACTGAGAATCTTAAACGTTCGTTTGCCAAATCCTAGGCCGTGTAAGTCTCTCCCATTCTCTTGATCGTTGGTTCATGCCACAAATGTAGAGTGAGAGCCCTGGGCAGAAGCTAAATCTGACTCCGAATTTTCTTGATAGCATCTCCTAAAGTTGGATGACTAGCGGCTTTACACGGTCTTTAATGTTTCCCTTCTGCAAAATGTCTTGTGCCCATTCTGCAGATCGTGCAGACTGTCATTTGAGTGAGATCAGTCGGACATGAGAATTGTATCCATTGTGTGTCCTGAGCACTGCAGTCTCAGAGTTCGCTTGTTTACGGCAGAGACTCAAAAGTCTGCGGTCTCCTGACGGAAATGCACAGTGTCAAATTGCAGTGTGTTTTTCTCTGCACCGTCCAAATGAATTCAGACCTGCGCTGAAATTTTAGGTGTGACCCTAGCGGTGAAAAGGTAGCCTTTATGAAAGACCCAAACTCATTGTCATCCTGCTGCCTGCATAGCAAAGTGATTGGATTGTCCCCGAGGCTAGAAGGAGAGTAAATACTAACTAACGTGATTCACTGTGAAGTCTGAAGTTAATTACAGTTGTCAGGAGATGTTATATGACAGCAGGGAGCCCTGTGGATTCCTAGTATCTGCTCGGTGCCTTTCGTAGGTCTTGTTTTTGGGCAAACAAGACAGTGTGCAGTCTCAGTTTGAGTTTTCCTTGCCCCTTTTCACTGCTCCAGTGATAACCCCAGCTTACTAATGTTACATTCACGAGGATTCTAGACTGGCTACTTACAGCACAGAGTTGAACTGGCTGGAAATCACGATCCTGTTGCTTTACCTTGTAAATGAGGGGACGACTTGGGGCCCGGGGCTGGCCTAGTCTCCGCAGTCTACTCCACGCGACTTCACTAGGGCTTTGATGGTAAGAGTCCCCAGTGATGGTAGGCACACAGGCAAGACGACAGACAGGACGCTGAGGGGGATCAGGAGTGGCCTTGCCAGCAGAAGGAGGAGCAGAGGGGGTCAAGGTGAGGAAGAGCAGGGAATGTTCGGGAAAGTGCAAACAGTGGTGTCACTTCTGTGATGAGGCAAGAAACGGGAGAAGTTGAGGCCTCACGAGTGGGCAGGGCCAGGCCGGGAAGGGCATGATGCCACCTCCCCTAGGACTGGGAGCCACTCGGGCATAAGCCGGGCGTGGTGCTTTTAGATTTATGCGTACATCCATCACTCGGGCAGCTGTGTGGAGGGTGACCTTGAAAAGAACTCTACTGGAAACAGTAATTCAAACCGGGAGGTAGCATGGAAACCCACAAAAGAGCTCAGTGAAGCCTCAAGAAAGAGAAATGGGGCAGACAGGCTGAATTTGAGTGGTATTTCTGGGCAGGGGCAGAGCTGCTGTTCGAGGGATCTGGGGACGGAAGGGACAAGCC